TACATTTTGAGCAACTTTATGGCTTTAAGTGCTCTTTTAAAGGTTATATCTCTCGTGCCTATGGCATAGTAAAAACACTCACTATACAGCAGGGTCTCCAAACTTCAACAAAGGTGAACACAGGGTGGCTCACGCCTGTAGTCCCAGCACTTTGGGAGGCCAAGGCAGGCAGATCATGAGGTCAGGAGTTCAAGACGAGCCTGGCCAACATGGTGAAAACCTGTTTCTACTAAAAATACAAAAATTAGCTGGGCATGGTGGGGCGCACCTGTAACCCCAGCTACTCAGGAGGCTGAGGCAGGACAATCGCTTGAACCTGGGAGGTGGAGGTTGCAGTGAGCCGAGATCACACCACTGCGCTCCAGCCTGGGTGACAGAGCGAGACTCTATCTCAAAAAAACAAAAAAAGAAAAAGAAAAAAGGTGAATACAAGCTGCTGACACCACCCCTATAGCCAGTTTTAGTCAAGTCACAAGGGTAGTTCCTGCTTAAAAAAAAAAAAAGAGTCTCTCAAATATTCCTTTAATTAAAGATCCCTAATTAAAAGTTCCCTCTTTAATACACTGTGGACCATTTTTGAAAGGATTCTATTTATGTCTAATTCACATGTTATTACAAATCCAGTAATAAAGCAAATGATTCGGTGGTAAAACTTAATGTACAAAAATGAAGATAGAATCTGAGAAGCAAAAATCATTCTAACTAGACATTGACTGAGAAACTGCTGGGACAGAAACACTTTCCATACGAGGGAAGGCTGAATGATCTGTTGAGGTTTCCACTGCAGACAAATTGAGACTATCCACCTCTCGTTACGGGTTTGACTTTCCCTAGTTGGCAGGTATTCCCTATGCCAACAGTGAGGGGTGCAGACAGGTAGGGGATGTCAGCAAAGCATGCACGCACCCCTCAAACATCTGCCAGCTAGGTGGGTTCACTACGCATTATAGGTCATTCCCACCCACATCTGCTCTTACCACTTTCCTTCCTATTTCAAAGGCACCTCCTTCCACCACTTCAGAATAACTCACAAGCTGTAGCCCTTCCAACTCCCATGTCCTCAGCAAACTTTGAGTCTTTTTTCAAGGTCAATTGCTATATTCATTGCAGTATTTACGTATTTCTTAATCAGTAAGCATGTTTAAACTGTGCTACTGTGTCTATTAGCTTTCTGTCTTTTAAAAAATAGGTCATTGATTAAGTTCCTAGGTAGCGTGACCTAACCTCATTTCTCCCATAATCCCTGTCATATTACTGCTCAATTCCGCATAGGTGGTGATTTTCTGGAATATATGTGTCACGTTATGGCTGAACTGACTACTGACTATACTTTTATAAAGACCCACGGATTCAAAGGCGTATGATCCTGTGAAGATGGGGGCAGGTTTTCTGATAGAGCTTGCAAGATGAGGCTTGAGAACCCAGGAGATTCAGCCACACTGTTGATAAATTTATCCATTTTCATTTTACTTTTTCACTTTTTTTTTCTTGAACCATTTAAGCCTTTAATGCTCATGTTTACCTTCTCCAGTCTTCCATCTGCTATTGTAAAGAAAGCTTGGTATCTGTGATACAGCTACTGGGAAGTATCCCAGAGTTACTGTGTTGGTGGCAATAACAATTAGTAAGAGGACACAGCTTCAGGAATAAAAGTCAGGGCTTTAACATTTGCCTCTCATTCCTCTAGAGATTCTCCTTTCATTGTCATTTTGGATGACTTAGATGTGATTTTCCTGGAGAAATGATGGGTTCCATTACAAGTTTGATTAAATTTGACATCAAAGCTGCCTTTCAATGCTTAGATGATTAGAAAAGAAGAGGGATTTAAACTTACCGTCTGCTGGTTTCTCACTTGTGTCACAACATGCTTGTCCCTCCAGTCAAATCTTAATGGCCAAGACACATTGGGGATGGACCTATGTACTTCTGCTGAGTATCTGGGAAACTTGGAAGGTTTGCTTCTTAAATAAATGGCTGAGTAGAAACATAAAATGAAAAGACA